AATTATATATGCATCCTTCGAAGAATTGCAGAATGTTCTTTAGTTTCTTTCTTGACAAATGTAGTAAATAATAGTAGATAATTACAGTTTGGCCACTAAATTCTGTGCAGACTTTCCTTTCCACTTCTCTATAGCTTTGCTAATCAAATCATCCCATGATACACATTGCATAGAGGGATCACATTTAGTGATAATATAGCTCTCTACACGCTTGCTGAATAAGAACATTGAAAGAATAGACGATGGATGTTTCCAGAAGTTGATTTGCAACACATGCGCAAAGTATCCACATTACTGCAATGTGATTGTAATCTATCCTTCATTCGAAGATTGTTTTTAATAGCTAACCACATAACAAAACTCTATCTTGGAACAGTTTTCCCAAACAATAACCACAAGGCTGATGAGAATGAATGCATAATAGCTTGTATCTCCCTTACATCATCAGAGATAATTGGTGGCCAACACCACTGATCATGTTGTACAATAGAACTAACCAATGAATCCAAAGGCAAACTAGAGTCATAGGCGACTCCGAGTGACCAACATGGACGGCTCACAATCAGAGTCACATGGTTGAAGAAAAGTCGACTTGTGGCTTCCAATCCATTTTTTTTTGTAAAAGTAGATTTGTAATTAAATTTTAGCATGTAATGTGTAAAGGAATTGTAATAGAGTATATATGGACTGTTTTAATATAACCTTGCATATTTTGATATAAATATGATGATTGGACCCGGTGTGGTCAAGTTTTACGTATAAAATGGACCCTGTGTGGTTATGGTATTATATTGGACCTCGGATGGGTCATGTAAATGTTGATTGCACAGATTGTGTTTTGGGGTAGAGCTTCCTGTACAAAGGAGACTCTGCCCGAATTTCGTTAAATTATGGATCCCGGTAAATGGGACACAACGGTACGATATCGAGTTATACGGTATCCACGGGCATTCCTTGGGTTGATGGGAAATTAACGGACCCCATGATTTGGGGTGTCACAGATAAGGTCACTATATGCTATGCTGGAAGAAATATTGACAAAATCACGATCAGTATCTATGGAGATGCAACTATTTACCTCCATATCTATCAAAGGAAGCCCTGTCAAATGAACGATGTCTAATATCATTGGGAAAATCACGCTAATAAGAAGAAGTATGAGATTACATGATTGAGACCAAAAACACACCGCAGTAAATATCAGTCATTGATTCATATGCATCTCATGGTGGAAAGCTTGATCATTTTGAAAATGACTGAACATCTCCATTGATAGACAAAGTGAGGCTCTAATTTTGCAACCCAATCGATCCATTGTTGATCAAAATTAATCGACAAATAAAGAGGATTAGTCCCTTGATTCCAAGACCTCCATAAAAGCTGGATTGATTCAACATTAAGGTTTCACTTTCATGAACAGGGTAGTAAACTAAGAATCTTTCACAAACATATATGACTTGAAAGAAGGACCGATAACAAGTTTCCCACTAGAACTAGGAGTAGGAATCAGAATCTTATGGTCCACTGAGTCATGTGCTATTTGCTTGATATTGGCAGGAAATCAAGAGAAAGGGATTCCAGATAAAGATGAAAACGGAGGTTTTTGTTTCTTGGGAGCCATTCCGAACACAAGAAGAAGAATTGTTGGAGAAAAATTGAGGCAAGGAGTATAAAGCAAATGAAGAGAAGTAAAGTGAATAGTTCAACCGCTAAAGCTCTTTAAGTAGGCGTTTAAGAGAAATAATGATCGTGACTATTTATTCATTTGGGTTATTAAATTAAACTCAATTCAATGAGGAGGGCTTTGTTTGGATATAAAATATAAAATCCTAAGAATATTCAATGTATCGATACCTAGCTTCTCAGGTGCATAAAGAAAATGTCACATGGAAGAGTCTAAAGAAACGTAGGAGATAATTAGTCATAATCATATTTAAAAAGAAGAATAACTCACTGAAAAGTATCATTCAGTAACAGTAAATGGAAGCAAAATCGTCGAAGACAATGACTATAAAATGACATATAATGGAAAAGATAAAGGAGACACTAAAACACCCCACAAGACCCACGATCTAAGCATTTTAGGAGTAGTTTTAGATTATTTTTAGAAAGTAGCTACCGTTGCAATTAAGGTTATTTATTTCGTCTTTTTATAACCAAAGTCCCTTCGATTAAATTAATAAATGAATTTTCTTTTATTAATTCTCTATACTGTGTGTTTGATCCATTAATTTCATCCAAAAAAAATTCTAAAATAAAGCATTTGATCCCCTCATAAATAATTGCCTAAAAATAATCTATCAATTGAGATATTACCATCAATGTCAGCAGATATTGGAGCAACAAAATATTAAGAAAAATCAGCAACTCGCAAGGGAAGACTAGGCCTTAGCAAAAAGTCCAAGGCCCAATTGGCTGCCCAAAGCCCAGCAGCCCAGCAGGTTAATAGGCCGCTCGACCCATACATGTGGCAGGCCTTAGGTAGCCCGTTAGCTTGGTAGACAGACCTTGGGCCTTTTTTTTGGGCTGGGGCTCAACGGGCTGGCCGTTAAGAAGGCCGATAGGCTGGCTCGTTAACCCAATAAAATATACCCATTAGAATTCTAAATATTTTTTCAAGTTTATTTAAAAAAAAAATTAGAGATCACCCAAAAAAAAAAAANGAAGCCCAGCAGGTTAATAGGCCGCTCGACCCATACATGTGGCAGGCCTTAGTAGCCCGTTAGCTTGGTAGGCAGACCTTGGGCCCTTTTTTTGGGCTGGGGCCCAACGGGCTGGCCGTTAAGAAGGCCGATAGGCTGGCTCGTTAACCCAATAAAATATACCCTTTAGAATTCTAAATATTTTTTCAAGTTTATTTAAAAAAAAAATTAGACATCACCCAAAAAAAAAAAAGCAACGACTTTTTTGCTTTAAAATGGTTGAAACTTCCAAATGATCGACAATTTTGTAAATGTCAACCTAGTTTGAATATATTCAATTTGTAATAATACAAAATAGTCTCATCCATCAATCAATGTAACATTATAATTCTTGATGGATATTTGTTAAATTCAATTAATATGAATTTTGTTAATTTATTTTTCATATCCAATTTTATAAATTTATGTCTTTTTGTAATTTGTAGATAANTTTCATCCATCAATCAATGTAACATTATAATTCTTGATGGATATTTGTTAAATTCAATTAATATAAATTTTGTTAATTTATTTTTCATATCCAATTTTATAAATTTATGTCTTTTTGTAATTTGTAGATAAAAAATTAAATTTTTTGAAAATTTCAACTACACCCCACTTAATTTATCATATCTTTAAGAATACTCCCTCTATTATTAAAAATATCACTAACACCACTAATTTATATTTAAATATCACTAACATCCCCTAAAATTAAAGCACCATTTATAACAAAAATAAATTATCTCAAATACCAAAATTTCCCCTACATAAACTCTAAACAATCTCTCTACATAAAATTCGAGTCAATTAAAATTTATTTTTTTACATACTAAAATTCAAGCTAATTAAAATTATTTTTCTATATATTAAAATTTGAGTTGATTAAAATTTTATTCAAGCTAAATAAGTTTTGATTTTTTATATATATTAAAATTTGATCCTATTAAAAATATTTTTGTATGTATTAAAATTTGAGCTAATTTAAGCCTTACTTGAGTTGTTACCCCCAATTAAAATTATTTCAAATTGATTAAAATTTATATTTGTTAAAATTGAATTCAAGTTGATTAAAATTTATTTTTTACGTATTTATATTTGAGTAGATTAAAATTTATATTTTTTATGTATCAAAATTTGGGCTAAAAATTTAATGCGAGTTGATTAAAATTTGATTTGAGTCTAGAATAAAATTTTAACTAGGTCAAATTTTAATACATAAAAAAATATAATTTTTAATCAACTCAAATTTTAATATATAAAAAATAAATTTTAATTAGCTCGAATCGAATTTTTATTGATTTGAATTTTAATACTTAAAAATAATTTAAAAATAGAGGGATCTCATTGAAGATATTCCTATCTAAAAGGGGTGGGGATGAAATTTTTCCTAAAATATATCATAGAAAATTTAGTAAAATTATATTTTACTTAATACATTTGATCTGAAGGGGTGTTAGTGAAAATTCACAAAATAGAGAAAATGTATTTGAAGATATAAGTGTAATTGAAATTTTTCCTTAAATTTTTTTGGGGCCTAGGGAGGCCTTTACCTCCCAAAAAACTTAGTAGAATAAAAGTATATTTTTTAAAATAATTGGGATAAAAGTACATATGCTAAAAAAAAGTCATAAAAGTCCTTTTATCCCTATTATAAATAGTGTATACCCAATTGAATATGAGACTTTCAAGATTCTTTTTGATATTTATATATCATTCAAATTTTAAAATTATATATATATATATATACACACACATGTAATACAGTGACATTAAACAGTGAAACGCTCAATAAAAAAAATAGTAACATCAAATAGTAACACACTCAATAAAAAATTAGTAACTTCAAACAGTAACACAAATATTTTTGTTGAATGTGTCACTGTTTGATGTTACTATTTTTTTGTTGAGCATGTCACTGTTTAATGTTACTATTTTTTTGTTGAGTGTGTCACTGTTTGATGTCACTGTATTACGTGTGTGTGTGTATATATATATATATATGTATATATATATTTCAAAATTTAAATGATACAGAAATATCAAAAAAAATCTTGAAAATCTCACATTCAAGTACGTATACACTATTTATAGTAGAGATAATTATAAAATATATTTTAAAAAGAATTTTAAAAAATTTTAAAATATGTACTTATTGAAAACTATTTGATGAAAAAAAAGATTTAAAAGAGGATAAATTTAGAACTAGTACTTAAAGTCAAATAAATTTAAAAAAAAGATACTCACGATTCTTTACCTCAATTTTTTAAACAAAAGCCCGTTTGAGGCCCAAATAGTGGCCCGTTAGGGTTTTTCAATCTTAAGCAGAGCCATCATCGACAAGACGAGAAGCATAGCAAAAACACACACAAGCACACACTAACGCTCACAGAGAGATGGACTCGTTTTCAGCCCCCACCAGTGGGCCATCGTCGCAGCTGTCGCCGGAGGATTTCATGGGCCAGCTCAAGACTCAGCTTGCCCAGGCTTATGCTGAGGAGTTCCTCGAGGTACTCTCTCTCTCTATCTCTTCACACACAAACGATCTTTGTATCATTAGATTATCGCGGATACAAGATGTTAAATGAACCAAATTTGCCTAATGTAGAGGCAATCAAGAAAGCTGCATAAGTGAATATATAACCTACAGTAAAGTGTGGTAGTCGTACCAATCTTGCTTGCACAATGGAAAGGGCCACTGGTTTTTCTATCCAGCGAATCGAATTGGCCGAAGGTGTGCGTTCATGAGTCCATGTTTAAAGATTCAATCAATTTTTACCAATATCCAGCCCAGTAAACTAAGAATATAAATCCAGAAGCCCAAACAAGATGTCCAAATAAGAACATTCACGCCCAGACCAATAAACTTATTCGCATTGATAAGTTGTGAAGAGTTTATTCATAAATACCATCAAATTAGTGGAAGATTCATTTAACTGTGAGACGGATACTCTGCCATAATGTAATGTTCTTCTAATGGCAATAAAAAGTAACTGATCCAATGGTATTGATCATCCAAAAATTGCCAAATAAAATGCATCCCAAGCTAAACCATATGATTGAGTCCTTTAGTTTCCAAAATAGTATAAAAAGAAGTAATTTGAAGTTTGTAAGGGATTTCTATGCTTGTGTTTTTGTCCTTTTTTGGGAGTACAATAGTATTTAATGAAAGCAATGGAGTTGTTGTATTGGTTTTCAAGGATTTTTTTTGCACTTCCCGTTATTAAATTGTTTGTCACTGTGATCCCAGTGATATGCTTGGTGTTGGTGTCAAGCTTGAGCTTTTTTGTTCACTTTGACATGGCTTTTATTTGTATTGTCTGTTACCCTTTCATAAGTTAATAACCCGTCCCAACTTCCACCCTTCTTGTTTCTCATTCCTTCTAATTTTCTGCCACTTTTTTTACAGACAATCAAGATCTCCTATATTGAACCATGAGTTCGAGGTGGTTACTGAGTTACATATTAGGTGCCTCATTCCTGTAAATTTCTTACTCCTCAATTTCCAACCTTTTAATTAGATGTTGGAAAATAATTTGGTGGCGTGGACCTGTAGGTCCATGAGAGAGGTAGCCACACCTAGTTGTTAAATGAATGACGATTAGCTCTCTCATTAGGAGAATTTTTTGATAACTGTTTGCGGCCTATTTGTTCCTTCAATTAAATATAATATAGGTAACAAGCAACTGGAAGTCTGATAGTGCTTTCTTTGCATCAGAAAAAATTGTGTCTTTTGTATTAGTGAGTAGAGAAGTTGGAGAGGAAAATTGTGCAATAGCAGTACTCTCTTCTTTACGACACGATAAATGATATTACTTTTTTTTATTGTATTATTTATTGGTGGTTGGAGAGTGAGGATGCTAGGGTATTTCTTGTATGTGTGAATCTATTGANATGATAAACGATATTACTTTTTTTTATTGTATTATTTATTGGTGGTTGGAGAGTGGGGATGCTAGGGTATTTCTTGTATGTGTGAATCTATTGATTTCGAAATGTGGTTGTTAGTGCGTACTTTTGGGTTAGTGGAACCACTCAAGTTTCTCAAATATTATTCACTGTTGGAATTGCTTTGGAGGCTAATGTTCTTTAGTCCTGAGGGCATCTTTTCCTTTTTTTGTTGTTTTTTTTCTTTTGTTTGCTATCAAATGCTGTCAAACAAAGTTCATTCGAGGATTAGAGCTACACAACTGAGTGCATGTGCTGAAATATAAGGTTTCAGAGAAAGACGCTGATGACAGTCTGTTGCACAAAAATACTCGACACATTTTTTATGTTATACATTGCGTATAATTGCTTCTCGTGTATGAAGGTATGACATGGTAGCTCCCATCAAATGTCTGCATTTATGTAATGTGCACTGTTCAATATTTGGAATTCCTCTTGAAAGTTGTTTTATATGTCTATTGACTTGAGATTAATTGTTTTCATCATTTGCTCTTTACACTGGCTACAGACTGTAAGAGGGAAGTGCTTTGACAAGTGTATCACCAAACCAGGGAGTAGCCTGAGTGGGAGCGAGAGTAGTTGCATCTCCAGGTGTGTGGATCGCTACATCGAGGCTACTGGCATAATTAGTAAAGCTCTATTCAGTGCACCACGTTAGACATTTGAAACAGAACATTTTTTGAAGAACACTCAAGCTGTGAAATTTTACGTTGGGGGGGAAAATTCATGGGGAAGCCTAGAGGATGTCCTGTACTGTTTTCAATACTCATTATAATGAGTGAGGATAATATAATTTGTGAACGTTAAGGTCAACGATATGAACATCGTGCCTGTGTTTTTAGCTGATGTTGGGGTACTATTTTATTGTTGGATAATAAATTTATGCTGAAATTATTTTAAGCATTGGTAAAAGAATGAATGATTATGGTTTAATCATAGTTTCAAGAATATCAAATTTAAGTGATCCTGCCATCCGGCTGCTGGATAAATTTGTGTATTCAATATTTTGCTATCTGGTCCGTTGGCTTTGAGAAGAGGTTAGAATTGGTTAGAAGCATGAATACAAGTATGATAGGGAAATATACATCATGCATATCCAACTCTTCCTCTCGTTCTTTTCCCGGAAAGTATATCAAGCTCTCGTAAACGTGCGACCCTTCCATGTTCTCAACGGTAATGCTGTATTTCCCTCCAATTTTTACATATCCTCCTCTCTCAAGAAGTATCTGGCAACTTGCACAAACATAAAAAATAAAAAAATAAAAAATAAAAAGGGACAGAAAAGCGTCTGGCCATTGTAACACGGACACACAGGCAGGCAAGCAAGCTCTTTTTTTGCCAGTACAATCAAGTCGTCTGCACTTGATGGAATATTTTGTATATTTAATGAATACTTTCTCAAGGGGAGAGAGAGACCGAGTTCATTTAGAGTTCAAGGATACTAAAACCATGGAAGAAGGAAAAGAGAGGGGAGGAGGGGAAGAGAGATGATGATGAGTGTGGCATGCCAAGTCTGCCAGACTTGTAATGGATAGACAAGTAGGAAAAATGAGTCAGCTTGCAAATAGGTCGTTCTCAACTCAAATACTAAACGTACTTAAAAATTTGTTACCATTCAGCTCATTTTATAATATGAACGAACTCGAGCCACCCGAATCATTTAACATCCCTATTCACAACATGAAGATGGGCAGACATACTCTGACAACATCAAGATTTGTTGTAAACTAAAGGTTCTTTTACAGCGCATGTTGGCTTTGAAGCTTGTTAGAAACCCCCACCAGACTAAGCAAGACAACTTTGATTACAGTGATTTGGCGGCATAGACAGAGGGTACACGTACTACTACATAAAAGTGTTTGTACAGTCGAATATATGTAACAATAACAGTAATAGTAACACACGCAAAATTTGCCATTTTTCAGACTGCAATCGCATTCATTAGCGTTATGTCTTACTTTTGGGGCAAGGGCAAGACTACTTGAGCCGAGCTTACAAGTTAAGTTTGAATGGCAGTACAAAACAAAATGGAATGGAAGTAAATAAATAGAAAGATGTCATTTATTTGCCCTAGAGAGGAACTTTTTTAAAATAACAATAAGCGAGCGTCACTTGTTGGCTGCTGCTGCTGCAGCAGCATTACCAAACACAGATGTGCTTTGGAATCAACCGCCTTTTTTTCAGCAAAAGTAGCACCAAATTAAACATTAAACAACAAATAACAAAGGCACAAATCCCATACGCCTATTTCCTCAAGGTCTGCATGATGTACTCAGCATAGAGGTCCCTGCATAATAAATACCATAAAATAAAATCAAAACGAAACACATGATTCAATTCAATAACAGAGCTAAACTAGATAGTGTAGCGAGTGATGGAAATTTGAGTTTCACTTTGCCATGTATCCATTTGTCAAATGTAAAACTTACATGGAGTACTGGATAGCATCATGAGCAGTAGTTGAAGGCAGAAACTCATTAACTGCAACCTCTTTGTTCTCATTCTTCTTGTCTAAATATTTGTCAAGAAAATTCTCTGTTCACAATTTTTTTACTCTTATGATCAATACCTCGCATCTCACACAAGGTTCTTGAGAAAGCTTAAACTGAAAGATGAAAAGGATACAATCTTCAAAGAACCGACGGATCTCAGTTAGACGGTGAGGGGCAAGCTGGTTGATATCAGTGTAGTGGCGATACTCTGGATCATCAGCACAGACTGCAATGATTTTATCATCCTTCTCTCCCTAATAAACCCACTTAATTATGTTATTGATATATTATTTACCCAAAACGAACAAAAATGGTTAGTTTCAAGGCATCAGTAATACCTGATCAATCATAGGCATCAGTCCTATTGCCCTGGCTCGAAGAAAACAGCCAGGAAGGACTGGTTCCTGTTGAAGGGATCGAATTATTTTCAGTTGATCATCTTAAAAAAACTGGAAATTAAAGCTTTGGCTTGCAAAAGAAAAGGAGGACTAGTGATTCTTCCTTACAACACATCAGAATGTTTCTCCTCCAATGCTTGGTTGTATGGCAAAAACAAGAGTTCTTTTTCCTATACATTTATGCTTACTATATGTTTGACCTACCTGCATGAGGACTAATACGTCCATTGGGTCATTATCTTCGCACAATGTCCGAGGAATGAAGCCATAGTTATGAGGATAGACCACTGATGAATATAAGATGCGATCAACCTGAGCGTCCATTGGAATTGTCAGAAAACAAGCCATCAAGGGAATGATCAGAATGCGAAGCTAAAGCCAATAATACCGAAGTACAAATGGCTTGTCCTCGTGGTAGATCTTGATCAGTAGATACTTAAAAGTATCTGTAAATTAGGATCTGATAATTAAATATTTAAAGCAAGAAACAGTAAGGATTCTGTCGTACCTTGATCAAACCAGTCTTCTTGTCAAGTTCATATTTCACTTTACTTCCTTTAGTTATCTCAGTAACCTGTATAGAAGAAGTATTTAATTGACAAATCAACGGCCATATGGGCTAAACACCAAGCGATAGTAAGTCTCAACTAGGCAGTTGATGAATCTACCAATCAAAGTAAACTAAGTTCCAATAAGATGGCAATAGAGAACCTGTGTCATATTCAATGCGGACTTTAATAGGGTCAATGTGGAAGATAGAGAGCATCAAACAACCAGTAAAACAGTGTTCTGTTGTGTAAATTAATACTAGATTAATTTGTCAAAAGATAAAATAGATCAGGATAAGGAATGATAAATCGTGTTGAATCTGAATGAAGTTAGGGTAATTTTGGATAAATGCAGTGCAAGAGCAGATCAAAATTCTGGGTTATGGTCAACTGGCATGCAACAAAATATATGATCTCATCTTCCTTGGTACAGAAGAACAATAGGTATTAAGTTAAACAACAGATGTAGAAACAAACGGAAGGTGTATCAGTACTTCACTTGAACTGGGACAATATCATATGTTTTGCCTGTATATCAGGTTTTGCCAACATTATTTAACTATGTTTAGTATCATATGTTTTGCCTGTATATCAGGTTTTGCCAACATTATTTAACTATGTTTAGATCGATGCTTAAGAAGAGGCATAAGTTGATTGAGTACATACAACATTGACAATCTGAGGAGCTCCGGGTCCTGCACCAAAGGTATTGAATTTGATGTCAATCGTATGCAGAGCGCAGCCTTGAGTTATGAAAGTGTCCATGTGATATATACTTACCTATCTCAAGATCATGCCAAGGATGAGCAGCAACGGATCTCCTGGACAAAGTTGAAAGGATCCTCTCATTCAGGCGGGGAGCATTTCTTTGTGGTACAGATTTAGCTCCATTTTCATTTGTCTCGTTGTTCATTTTGTTTCTGATGGGATCAAGAAGAAATGAAATGTGCCAAAGCTGTCAGGACTTGTTCCAGCAAAAAATGAATTTGCAACAGAGGCAAGAGAAGTAATATATATAGTATAAACAAACGAAAACACAAGATTTGGAGTTTGGAAATTTTAGAATGGAATGGTTATGGAGAGTACAATATTCTCAGAAAAGAAAGAAAAAAGAATAAAGCACCATCAAGTCATCGCTTCTATCTAGAGGTAGGATGGGATTGGGATCTTATTATTCAGAGCATGCATGAAAAAAAGCTTTAAAAGGGGAAATGGGATAAGTAAAAAACACCAAAAAGTCAATACGTGCATGTTCATGTTGGACATACTACCATTCCTTGAATAGTGCATCAAATTCAGTATACAAATGCAAGATTTATATTCAAAAATACAAAGGCCAGTAGTGTAGAGCACAAATATAAATCTGACAAGTACCAGGTTGGTCAATAGATTAGATCGCTGTAACAACGAACTCAACTTTTGGCTTTTGGCTTTTGGTTGTATAGAAAGAACGAATGGAGTTTATATAGGGAGACTGGTCAACTTAGATGGCAAATATAGGCTTGTGGTGGGAAGAGAGCATAGCAGCGTAAATAGTGGCCGCCCAAGTCTAAGCCCGTAGACTTGTTCCCGATTGTTGTTAGGTCAAAATTCATTCTTGGTCCCTTAATTTTGTCTTTAATTTTAATTTAGTTCCTTAACTTTCAATTATTCTAATTTAGACCCTCAAAAAATAATTTCAACTTAATTGAGTCCTTCCATGAATTTTCTTCGTTAGATCAACTAGAGACTAACTCAATCTGATATATTTCAGTATTGGTCTAACGGTGAAAATGGATAAAAAAAAATTAATTAAGACAAAATTGATAATTGATGAACTAAATTAAAACAATTAAAAGTTAAAGAACTAAATTAAAATTGAAGACAAAGTTCAAGAATTAACTATTATTACCCTTCTTGTTATTAAACAGTCTCCCTTCCCAAGCATACAAACTAATAAAACATATTATTTAATTCACTTACACATTTAGACTTGGCCCGCATCTGTCTGTCTGATTGTTTGTGAGTTGTACTGATATCAGAGTAACTAGTGCCTAATTTCGGGCTGGAATATTGTATTGGTTCTTCAATCTACCCTTTACTTTCTCTGTGTAATTTCATTCCGCCCACGACTGGATGGCTGACTAAGATGAATAAGGCTTTGAGTCTTGAGTTCATCACAATCACCAGCTGCGCCAATCTGGAATGTTGGTTTTACCGACCCCAAGGCCATTTTTCTTTTTTCTTTTTTCTTTTTTTTAAAAGCAAAAAATGGATGCCCTCTGCAATTTTCCCATGCTTTTATATGCATCCCCTCTCCGGATGCTCTCCTCCAACCACTCTATTTATTGTTTTCCTACCTCTCTTTAGTTCAATCCACTGTTATGTTACCTCATGGGATTCCCTTGTGGTGGGTTCACAGTGACAAAGTGAAACATTGCAATCTCAGTTTTATTAAACCTTTTACACCATATCAAATTTATGTCTTATGATACCACAAGCACTCTCGCCTGCATTTATTCAATCATCCACTAGAGCAGGACTATTATACTTTTGTTTACACCCTGCCAGTTCTCTTTTTGTCGTGGATCAACCATCACCTTCATTAGTCCTACTACCAACACACTTATGCAAAACATCAATCAAAAAAGAACTTGCAGTTATCAATTATTGTGCTTTTCGCGAAAAGTGCAGGATACAGGAAGATGAAGAAACATAGTGTGCGGTTTGTTTGAGCAGTATTGAGGAGAACCAGGAAATTCGAGAGCTGTCCAATTATGGTCATGTATTCCACCGAGAGTGCCTGGATAGTTGGGTGGATGAGGGCCGAGTGAGTTTCCCATTTATGTAGATCTTTGCTGTTTCCAGCAAACGAATAGACGGGAACGTGTGTACTGTATGTAGATGTATGATGGAAAGAAAGAAACGACTACTTGTTTGGCAAGGAGTATCATGTGATTGAATCAACTTGACTTCAATATCTATACACAAATATGAATACAAGTAATTCATGCAATTGAAATATCCCAGTGTCTATGGGTTTGTCATCATTTTAGTTCAATTCCTCACGTTGCTCGAAAGAAGGGCAAACATGACATTAGAAACCGAATCCATATCAATTGGACTATCATTTGTCATTTAAGATTACTAGTTATTGTCTGTGTCCGAAGGCACAGAGTAATAAAAAATGATAAACAATAAATATATTTATATTCATATCTAAAATTAAATCACAAATAAAGAGAAGAGATAAAGGAATTTAAGCATCAATTTGTAGTGGGGGTGTTAGGTGGTGGGCGACAGTGGTGATGGTAGGAGACAGTGATGGTTGTGGTGGGTGGTAATATTTGTGGCAGCTAGGGCGCCGACGATAGTGGTGGTGACAGCGGTGGTAACGATGATGGTGGTGGTGGCGATGGTGGCAGTGGCAGTGATGGTGACGGTTGCGATGGTGGTGGTGGTGATGGCGGCAGTGATGGTGGTGGGGGGCTGTAACGGTGGTGCTGGTGGTGGCGGTTGTAGCGGTGGTGCTAGTGGTGGCGATGGCAGTGGGATGGTGGCAGTAATGGTGGTGGAGGCGATGGTAAGGGTGGTGGTGACGATGGCAGTGATGGTGGTGGTGGCTGCGGCGGCGGCAGCGATGGCGATGGTGACGGCAATGGTAATGGTGGTGATGTCGGCGATAGTAATGGTGGTGATGATGGCGACGGCGGTGGCGGTGATGGTGGTGGCAGTGACGATGGTGGGGGTGGCGATGGTGGTGACAGCAGTGGTAGTGGCAGTGGTGACGGTGGCGGGGCAGTGGTGGTGGCGGCGGTGGTGGGGACGACGGTGGCGATGGTAGTGGTAGTGGCAGTGGCAGTGGCGAAGGCAGGGGCAGTGGTGGTGGTGGCAGCGGCGGCGGTGGTGATGGTGGCAGTGGCGAGGACAGGGACGGTGGTGGTGACTATGACGACGATGGTGGTGGTGACAGCGGTGGTGGTAGTGGTGGTGGTTGCGGCGGTGGCAGTGGTGTTGATGTAACAGTTCCAAACACTATTTTTTTTTATAATACTTATGAGAAATAATTACTAAAAGTATTTTAAAAAATCACTCCAAACACACATTTAAGGACTTATTTTTCCTATTAAATTTAGGGTGTTAATATTAGTCATTAGATTAACTTTAAAGTAAAATTTAAAGTGATTTCAACCGCGAATAACAAAAATTATTTTATTTATCTTTTGAGATTTGAATTGTATTGTATTTTACTATATAAATATATATATCAGGAATGTCAAGCTAAGCTTCAAGTAGAGGTAGCCTAACCTACGAGTCTATTGGGCTGGCCTACTTGTGGGTTTTTTTATATATTATTTTATTTAAAAATAATGAATATTTTTATAATTTAATATTTATGTAAATTATATTTTTGAATAAAAAATATAGAAAAAATGGATAAAAATAAAATAATGAATAATTTTATTTTTAATTTGGGGATGAACTACATCCAATAGAATGAATACATCCTAACTATGTTGACACTTACTCACTTATCTATCATTTGCAGTACTCTACCATTTAAAACTTATATGCTTAATACATGGAAAATAAAATAATACATTATTTATAGTATTTAAATTTTTAAAATTTTAAATTTTGACAATGAGAGATTTATTTCAAAATTTCAAATTTAATAGTTTAAAAATAAAATTTTTTTTCAAATGAAAGTTGGGCGGACTTGGCGGACGGGTTTTTGGGCCAAGTAATAGATTTAAAAATAAACCCAAGTCATCTTTTTAAAGATATTAGTTTCGA